CCACAACAGCCAGAAGGTGGAGGCACCCCGAAGGCCCATCAGTGGGTGCACGGATGAGCAAAACGTGGTCCCCGCATACAGTGGAACATCGTTCAGCTAGGAAGAGGTCATGAAGTACTGTTCCACGCTACGGGGTGGACGACCTCAGAGACGTTACGCTGGACATGAGAAGCCGGGCACGAAGGGTGACGTACTGTATGATTGCATTTATGTGAAACATCAGAACAGGCCAATCCACAGAGGCAGAATGTAGACTAGTGGGGGGCGTGGGGGTGCTGGGGGGAATGGGGAGTGACCACTAACGGCTACAGGGTTTTTTTGGGAGGTGATGAAAATGTTCTGGAATTGGATCGTGGTGATGGTTTGCACACCTTTGTAAATATGCTAAAAACCAACAAACTGTACATTTCCAAGGGTGAATTTTTACAATATGTGGATTATATCTCCATAAAATAAAACAAATTCTAACTTTGAGAGGGAAAGGATCAAAGATCCTATACCGGACAGATATTAACCAAAAGAAAGTGACAGTTGTTATGTCACTGTCAGTCCAAGTGGACCATGAGGCAAAAGCATTGCAGTGTCAACGCGTGTGTCACTCCTTTTTTTTTTTTAAGGTTTTATTTATTTATTCATGAGAGAGACAGAGAGAGAGAAAGAGAGAGAGAGGCAGGGACACAGGCAGAGGGAGAAGCAGGGTCCATGTGGGGAGCCCGACCTGGGACTCGATCCCCGGTCTCCAGGATCAGGCCCTGGGCCGAAGGCAAGCGCCAAACCGCTGGCCACCGGGGATCCCCGTGTCACTCCGTTTTGACGAAATGTTCAACTTACCTGAAATATGTAGCACCCGCACTTACTAATTTAACTTAAAAATACACAAAGCAGTAGTTGGAGGAATGAGAAAGAGCCATCAGGCCTCTACTCAGGGACATCTCCATGGGGCCTCGGGGCGTCCGGGTGGCTCTGCCGGTTGGGCGCCCAACTCTTGATTTTGGCTTGGGTCATGGTGTCCGGGTCGTGGGATCGAGCCTCACCTCGGCCTCCGTGCTGAGGCTGTAACCTGCTTGGGATTCTCTCTCTCTCTCTCTCTCTCTCTCTCTCTCTTTTGAAATCTCCGTGGGGCCTGGAGACAGGCTCTGGAGATTTTTTTTTAAGAATTATTTATTTATTTATGATAGACAGAGAGAGAGAGAGAGAGAGGCAGAGACATAGGCAGGAGCAGGCTCCACACAGGGAGCCCGACGCGGGACTCGATCCCGGGACTCCAGGATCGCGCCCTGGGCCAAAGGCAGGTGCCAAACCGCTGAGCCACCCAGGGATCCCCCCCTGGAGATGAGGTTTTTATATTCATCGCAAAAGGCCAGGTGGGGTTGAAAAATATCGAAAACCTCTCTTAAGGCAAAAATCTAATCCCGTCACTGTCCTGCCTACAGGCAGCCGTGCCACACCTCCCCAGCGCCCACTTGAGAAAGTTCACTTTCCAGGCCAGTCGCTAGCCACTGGGCACAAGTGTCCTCAATCCACCAAAGCGGTTTATTTGTTCTTTCCCAAACACTTCGCACTTCGTGTGTTGCCCACCTGCAGCCACGGGGACGGAGGCACGGCTGCCCGGGTTAAGCCAGGAATGGGCAGAGGACGTGGCTGGCCTGTGGCCACCAGTGGCTGGCGGTCCTGCGTGCTCCCCTCTGCCTCCCGAGGGAGCTGCTTCTCTCCCGGGGTGGACTCCTTCACCCCTCCATGTCACCCACGAGTGATCCCCATCTTTCCAGGCCCGCATCCGCTGCCCATGTTCCGCCTAGGGCCCCCACGTGGACCCGACCCACATCCCTACCGCCAGCCCCGCCATGTCGAGCTCCGTGGGGTCTCTCTAGGGCTTGGGTCCCACGCTTGGCCTCTGGCTCCGTGGAACAACCTCCAGGTCCCCACTGGCCAGCGAATGTCATGAAACGGAACCGAGGCCCCGGCTCCCCACTCTTCCTCGCGCTGACGGCCTGCACCCACGCAGGGAAGGGTGAAGAGCCCCCCGAGTTCTCCGCAAGTCCCCAGGCATCCTCATGCTCCCAGGGAGCCTCGTCACTCGCACGCAGGCAGTCGGGGGCGTCAAGCACGCGGCTGTGTGGCCTTGGCTCCGGCCCTCGGCCTCTCTGCGCCGCCCTTTCCGCAGGTGTCAGGTGGAGATGGTGACAGGGCTTCGAGTGACACACGGAGGTGGAAGGTGGCCCGATGTAAAGCTGCTTCCGCATTTGCAGAGGAGGACGAAAAACAGTCCCTTTGGCTCTATTTTCGGGCCCTGCAGGGAAACTGGCCGTGCTCACCACCCACCCTGTCTCTCCCCCAAGCCCACCCCATCCAACCTCTCTTGGTAAATGGTCCGACCCCTCTAGGCCACCGGGCCGCACCTCCTTTGCTCCCCACCCCCACCCGACCAGCATCCCCGCCCCACCCAGCCGGTGTCCCCGGCCCCAGCGCCACCCACAGGTTCGCGGGGACCCACCCTGTGTGGGCCAGAACCAGGGCTACAGGGTCCTCCCATTGCCGGACTGGTCCCTGACAGCTGGGAGGATGCGAGCGCACTGGGGCCGGCTCCCAAGCAGCACCCACCCTCTCCAGCTGCCCCAGCTCAGCTCGGGCCACCCGCCAGCAGCTGGCCACCGCTCCCAGACTAAGGTCCAGCCCTTACCCTGCCAGGCCTGAGCACCTGCCGGTCCCTGAGCCTGCAACGGTCTCACAGAGCGCCCCCCAGCTCCCTCTCCATGGCCCACCTCCAGCTCCGGCCTTTGGGGGCCAGTCTCTCTCCCAGACCGGACACCTGCGGCCTAGGCACCTGGGCGACCCAAAGATTGCCTCTCACAGACTGCCCCCTGGGAGGGATGAAGGGCACCCCCCCGCCTGCCCTGGGGGTCCCCTTATCTCCCGGCTCCCGGATGGGAAGGGCAGGACTTCTCCCCCAGGGCCTGATTCCAGGGGTGCGGGGTGGGATGGGGAGGGGGGCAGTGGGGGAGAGGAATGGTTTTGAGCCGCTGCCCAGGTGGTGACGTCCGAGGAGGCCTGATGGATGGTTTTAGATGTGGCCATGGCGCCGCCTGCTGGCCGGAGGCCAAGTGGCACCCGCGTGCGGCTGGCGGAGCTGCAGCCCCAAGCCCGCGACCCGCCGAGGGTCTGGCCATCTCCCAACCGAGCGGCTCCTGCGCAGGGCTCCCGGAGCAGCCGGCGCGCGGTCCCCACGCAGGTCATGCCTATCGTCCGAGCAAGCTCACCCCCTCCATTACGGGGCCTCCTCCTCGAGGGCAGGCACCTTGCACGCCGGGCCCAGCGGCGGCCACAAACCAGAGGCCCAATCGATACTTGATGGACAAAGCAAGAACAAGCAGGTGTCCTGAGACTCTGGGGTGAAGACGTCAGAGGTGTCAGGAGGTGACGAGGGCCCGAGTAGGAGCTAAGGGGGGGGGGACAAACAGGTCACTGGAGGTGAGGACCCCAAGCGGCTGGGACCTGGCCTCGGCCCTGGCTGCCTGAGGGCCCCTGGACTGTGGGCTGGGAAAGGGGCGCAGGCATGGTAGGATTGGATCATGTGACCCAATAGCCCGGAGCGCAGCATCACCTAGAAGTGGGCCTAGAAGTGGGCCACGGGGACAAAGGACGAAACTGCCCACCACCCTCTGGACTTGCCCTGAGCGCAAGGGCCCATGGGAGCTAAGGGCAATAGGGAGCAGGAAGTGGGTGAGGGGAGGCTAGGAGAAGAGAGCTAGAGGGGTTGGTGCGCCTGGGACTCACACCCTACGATGTGCCCATTGCCAGCCGCCTGGATGTGCCGTCCATTGCCGGACGAGGTGCGCTATGCCCGGTGGTTCCGACAGGTGCCAGGCCCCCTGGCTCCGACCCCAAACACCGCTGCAGGCCTCCTGCGCCCCCTGCCCTCGCCCGCCGACACCCAGGCTGGCCCTGCTTGGGCCTCCCTGCCTCCCTGCCTCCTCGCGGGTCCCAGAGCTTCACAAGGAGAAGGGTCTCTCCCATCGCGCTCCACAACGGGGGCTGGCAGGGAGCAGCGGGCAGGACTCAGTGGGGAGGAAGCGCCGGCCAGCTGGGCCGGGACTCAGGGTGCTCCTCTGCTCGGTTAGGGCTGAAGAGCGGCCTTAGGGGTCTTCCTCTAATGGAGGGAGGAGGGAGGACGAGGAGGGAGGAGGGAGGAGGCCTACTGGGGCCAGGAAAGGCTCAGGGCCTGGAAGGTAGGACTCTGGAGCCCTGGCCCGGCCACAGTGGGGTTGCAAGGGGCAGGGGCCACACAGCCCGGAGGACTGGCCACCGCTCTTCACGCCGTAAGCCATCACAACCCAGGCTGGGTGTCCCGTGTCATCTTCCTGTCCCGGGGGGTGTCATGCCCTCCCCCCCAGCTCATGGGCTCCGTAAGTCACAGTACGGGATGGGTGTTGAGTCCCCGCTGGTGCCCTGTCCTGGCTAGAGGGCTCCTCCCACCTTCCGGGGTTCCCTAGCCTTCCACATAGGAGATGCCCACTGGAAATGCTCTCTGTCTGGCCAGGGCCGTGGAAGGTGGGGGATGGAAGGGAGAGGTTGGGGGACTGTGTCCCCTTGCCTGTGAGCCCTTCCCAGCCTGTCCCCGAAGCCCATCCCCAGGGCACCGGAGACAGGGCTCCCCAGACCGCCACTCGGCCCCCCGCCACCGCCCTCGGCTGGCAGCCCTCCGTTTCTGCGGAGCCAGAGCCACATGCAGGCCGGCCTCTAGGGGAGCAGAGCTGGCAGCCGGGCCGCCTGTCGCTGGAACTTTGGGGGGACAGGGACAGGAAGTTCTTGAACAGCTGGGAGCTCACCTGCCACCATGGGAGGGAACACAAGTTCAGGTGGCAGTGGGCGAGGTCGCATGGTGGGGGCCTGTGGCCAGCAGGGCCACCTCCTCGGTTTCCTTCCACAGGTGACATTCATCCTCTCCACACTCGTCCCCCACCCCTGTCCCTTACCCCTCTCTCCAGGTCACCATGGGCCCGTTGCTCTGTCTGTCTTTATTGATTTGGGGACAACTCGAGGGGGGCTAGAGGGCCATGACGCAAGCGGGACCACCACAGTCAGCAAAGCACAGAACAGCGTGCAGGAGGAACTGCCCCCGAAGCCTCCTTGGCTCCTAGAGGGGGCGTGGTGGTGTCGGTGGGGGAGTCCCCGCAGACACGGAGGCCAGGGCACAGGGTGGCAGATGGGGGAGTCCCACGCCTGCCCGGGGCCGTGCGCCACACCCACACCTCTCCGACTTTCCAGCAGAGGCCGCGGGGTCCTGGGGGTGGGGAGAGAGGCCCGAAAGGATCCACCCATGAGAAGGGAATCTGGGAGGCCACGCGCACCCGAGCACCTGCCTGCGGGGGGGGGGCAGTCAGGGGGCGCCCCCAGCTTGCCCTGCGCCCCTGCTCCCAGTCAAGGCTCTCGGCAGCGGCGCCCACTGGGTCCTTGGCACCGGCCCGCACTGACCCTCAGGGGCCCGCGGCCACCAGCCCCCGTCCCCTCCCTGCCACCGCCCTCCGCTCTCTGGGGTCGCCCCGCTGAGCTCCTGGCCACACGGAGCCTGCCCCCTGTAAGTGCCCTCAGGAGTCAGGTCCCCGTGGGTGCGGGGCCCACCCCTGCACACCTGCGCATCACCACTTGGCGGGCTGGCAGGACTGGAGGCCGGGGTGGCTGTGGCGGGCCATCCTCCGCTCAGAGGCCTCCTCACCCTCTGGGCTCTGGCCCAGCTTGCGGATGTGGCGCAGGAAGGAGGTGGCATTGAACGCTCTCTGTGGGGACAGAGGGTTGTCGGGCCAGGCCCCGGCCATGGCCCCAAGACTCCCAGGAGCCCAGAGGCCACTGGCCACCCGGGCCCTCCTCCCTGAGGAGGTCCACGGGCCCGTCCCTCACCGACCTTCCAATGGGTCCGGGCAAAATTTTTCTGGATCTGCTCACTGACGGAGCCCAGGATGTCCTTGTCCAAGGCCGCGTCCCCAGAGATCCTAGAGGGAGGCCAAGGGTCAGTGGCGGGGCAGCCTCTGAGGGTGTGGTCCCTCCGGGCGCAGGCCAGGTTGGCAGGGGTCCCCACTCACCAAAGATGCTGTAAGGCCTGCTGGCAGGTGAACCTCTTCTGGGGGTCTCGCTCCAGAAGGTGCCGGATGAAGTCTTTGGCTGGAGTGGGGACGCCAGGTCAGCCCACCCCATCCCCACTCCCCCCGTCACTCCCCCCTCCCGCAGCTCGGGGCCAGCTTCAAGTTCACCTGATTCTGAGATGTCATCCCAAAAGGGAGAGTCAAACTCGTAGCTGGCCCTCAGGATCTGGCTGAAGAGTTCAGGATCGCTCTCGTCGTAGAAAGGGGGGTACCCACAGAGCCTGGCACCCACACATGAATCACCCAGCTGCCCAGCCCTCCCCAACCCAGCAGAAAGCAGGCAGGCCGAAGAGGAGCCTTCGCAGGGGTCACTCACAAGATGTAGGAGATGACACCCAGGGCCCACACATCCACGGCCTTCCCGTAGGGTTTCTGCTCCAAGAGCTCCGGGGCTGGCGGCCAGAGACAGACAGACACACACCGGCACGCACAAGCACCGCGCCTTCAGTGCTGCCAGGCTCGGCCGAGCTAACCCCACAAATGACCCACCACCTACCCTGGTGCGCGGCTCCCGCGGTGTCCCCCAGCCGCCCCCAGCCCCCAGCAAGCCTCAGCGTGCCTCCCTCACTGACCCACATATCCTGGGGTCCCACAGGCGGTGCCCAGCATGTTGCCAGCCTGGATCTTGGAGAGGCCGAAGTCGGAGACCATGATCTTGGAGTCCTCAAAGGGCGTGGCATAGAGGAGGTTCTCAGGCTGCGACACACGGGGCGCCAGAGGAAGTGCCAGGTGAGCCCCGGGGCCCCCTGGAGTCCCCCAGACGCTCGGGGCGCAGGGTTGCCGGGCGAGGCCCAGGCGGGCAGGTGGGAGAGCAGGCACCTTGAGGTCCCGGTGCACGATACCCAAGCTGTGCAGGTAGGAGACGGCCCCGAGGACCTGGCCCACTAGGTGGCTGGCGTCCTTCTCTGTGTAGGAGCCACGCTCCATGATGCGGTCGAACAGCTCGCCCCCTGTCACCCTGGGGGGAGCGGGGGCTCAGCTAATCCGGGCCCTGGCACACCGCCCCCCAGCGCCGCCCCGCAGCCTGCCCCTGCCCTCCTCACAGCTCCATGGCCAGGTACAGGTGGGAAGGGCTCTCGTGGACGTCCTCCAGGGCCACGATGTTGGGGTGGCTGACCCTGCAACGGCACGAGGAAGGCGCCACTGGGCCACCACAGCCCCCGCCGCGCCTCTCGGGGCCTAGGAGTGCTCGGTCCTGGGCCACCCCAAGCCCTCCTCCCTCCTCTCGTCCCCGCCCCCGTTCCCTGCCACCCCAGGCCCGCGCACCTGCGGAGCACTGCGATCTCGTTCTCCACCAGGGCCTCCTTGCCTCGCAGGGCCTTCTTGGGGATGCACTTGAGGGCCACAAGGTGTGAGGAGCCGCGCTCCTGGGCCAGCACCACCTCCGAGAAGGCGCCCCTGGGGGGCAGGCCGCGGGGGACAGGGGGGAAGGGGGAGGGGTGGGGAGGCCGAACACGGGAGGTGCTGCGGGCCCAGGCCACCCGCCGCCCCCACCCCGCCTCACCCGTTCACACACTCGCACACACGCACCCCGCGCTCACTGACACACACACTCACGAGCCGAGCTTCTCCCGGATCTCGTAGACGCTGCTGATGTCTTCCGTCTGCTTCTTGAGCAGCAGCATGTCTGCGGGGGGTCGGGCGGAGATGGAGGGGCGCCCCCTGGGGAAGCCACCCCCAGTGGCAGCCCCGCGAGAGCCAGGAAGCCGCCCGCCCCTCCCCCACCGCCAGGCCCGCACCCCCAGGCGGGCGACTCCCAGCGAGGCCACCGCGGCCGCTGCCCCCTCCCGGATGCGAGGCCACGACCCCGTGCCCCCACCCCCGCACCCCGACGGCGGTCGGCACCGACACCCGCTCTCTGCCTCCACACAGCGGCCCCGCCGCGGTCGGCCGCCTTCCAGAAGGCTCCGCGCACCCCCACCCCGTCCCCCCGGGCCCACCCCACCCACAGCGCCCACAGACGGGCGGCCCCCCTCCACCCCCGGGCCTGGCCCCGCCGCCCTCGGCCCGGCGCTCTCGGGCACGCGCCTCTCGGGGCCTCCCGCGCCCCCGAGATGCACCTGCGACCCCCGCGCCCCGCCGCCGGCCGCGGCCACGGCCACCCACGCGGCCGCCCCAGTGCAGCGCGGGCCTGGGCGCCTCGGGGCGGGAAGGACTCGGCTGCCTGGGCCTCCCGCGTCCCGCGCTGCGTGGGCCGCGCCGGGCTTGACAGGTGCGTGCGGGGGCGCGGGGGCGCGGGGGCGCGGGGGCTGCGGCGGCGGGGCCGGGATCCCACGCGCCCCCGCCCGCGCGCGCCCCCGCTCCCGGCAGCGCCGGTGCGGACCTGGAGCCGAAGCCGCAGCGTCGCCGCGCAGTGGCCGCCGCGCCGAGCCCCCCGCCCGCGCCCCGCCGGACCCGCCCCCTCCGCGCGCGCCCCCGCCGGCCGCCGGCGACCAGAGCGGGCGGTGGCCCAGCGCTGCCGCGGAGCCGCAGGGCGCCTTGTAAGGCAATGGGCCCGGCGCCGCCGCCGCCGCCGCCTCCCTTCTGGGCCCGCCACGCCAGTTCCTGCCGCCTCCGCCCGGGCGCCCCGCTGGACCGGCCCCAGGGCCTTTGCACCTCCGCCGCATGGTGACGGGGCTCCCTCCGTGCCTGCGGGTCTCCTCCCTAGCCCCGCCCCCGCCACTTCTGCCACCTGGCCTGAGCCCCCAGCGGCCAAGCGCAGCTGGAGGCCGCGACGAGCCTCCCCACTGGGCTCCCCCTGCCCCCCCCCCCACGCCCGGTCTCCTCCCCTCCAAGGAGTCAGGCCATTTCCCGAATCCAGGACGGTTACCGCGGCCTCCACACCCTCCCAGGGCTCCCCACGTGACCGGGAGTCAGAGCACAAGTCCCCGCAGGGGCCCAAGGGCGTTGCATGGTTGGTCCTCCTTCCCGATCATGCTCAGGCCCCTCTCACCCCCGCCCCCCCTCCACTAGCTCTAGCAGCTCCGACCCGGCCGGCCCCCTAAGTGGCCCTCAAACATCGCCGTGCACCTGCCCCAGGGCCTTTGCACTGGCTGCCTCTCCGCCTGGAATGCGCTTCACTCAGACTTCTGCGTCCCTGCCGCCTCACTCTATCAAGCCGCAGCTCCAGTGTCCCCTCCTGGAACAGGCCTCCCTGCCCGCCCACCCCAGTCCCTAGTACACCACCCTGCCTGCCCCGTCCTCAGAAGATCCATCATTGCCGTGTCACCTCCTCAGTCTTGTCTTCCTCTTCAACACACCCGCTCCCAGAAAGTGTCTCTGCTGACCCAGCTCCGGAAAATAATCGCCAGGTGACTGGACTCAGTCCTTCATCCAACAACTGGTGGATTCTTCCCCTCCAGCTCCATCTCAGTTCGGGCACTGGGTCCAGGGACGTCCATGCCCCACCAGGGACAGGGACGCAGGTGTCCTGGCCGTTGACCGGAGCTCGTGCAGACCGGTCAGGGCTGCAGGGGCTTCTCGGAGCCACAGGGGCCAGGGGTGGCCTGCTGAATGTCTCTTCGCAGGGGTCTGCAGGCCCCGCCGTGACACAAACTCTTTTTTTAAATATTTTATTTATTTATTCATGAGAGACAGAGAGAGAGAGAGAGAGAGAAAGAGAGGCAGAGACCCAGGCAGAGGGAGAAGCAGGCTCCATGCAGGGAGCCCGACGTGGGACTTGATCCCGGGTCTCTAGGATCACACTCCGGAGTGAAGGTGGCACTAAACCGCTGCACCACTGGGGCTGCCCGACACAAAGTCTTTTAAGAGGCTCCCCAGGCCCGACAGACATTTGTCAAGATCATCTTTGCAGAACTCAGCTCGGACACGTCTCTAATACTTGGTCAATCTGAGAAGGACCCCAAGCTCACCCAACAACGTTCCCGGGGCCCTAGCCCTCGGCAGCTGGCTCACCTCTGTGAACAGGGTTTCCTAGGAATGGAATTGACCATGACCCCAGCTCACCCTGACCGGAAGGCCTGCCTGTTTCGGGACGCCTGGACCGATTGACACAGACCCGAGCCTCGTCTTACCTGCTCGTCTAATAATTACCCATCAACGTGTCTAATCCACTGCAGCCGCTTTGGCCCAGCCAGAAGAAAGATTATCAGAGCCCCGTGGTCACGGGCGATAACAAGGAATATAATTCACATACGTGTGCGTTTGTGTTTCAGACAAGTGCGATGTCTGAGAAATGAAAGCCCGCCCGCCTGGAGAGGGACGTCGCCGCGGGCCAGCACGTGAGATGTGGAGGCAGGAAGACAAGGGCTCACTTCCAAAGGGAGCATGGAAAGAAGAGGCGGCATCGGAGTTTGCGATGGACACAGCTCCGAGCTCAGCAGGTGCTTTTGAGGCCCCTGGCCTCACGTCAGAGGTGGTAGGTATCACGGTTGCTGGGCTTTCTTACAGTGTTTACAATACACCAGAAATCACACCCTTTGCAACTGTTTAAACATCTGCTGAAGTATTGTAGACTCCCACTTCGAAATGCCTGTGTGTGTGTGTGTGTGTGTGTAAGTGTGTGTGTGTGTGTGTGTGTGCGGAGTGGTTGGGATAAAGAGCTTTTCCAAATCCTTTCAGAGGCCCATTTGCAGAAAAATCAATGGAAAGTTAACCGTAGGCCTAAATGTAAAACACCCAACTCTTGTAAGAAAACAGAAGAGAAAAATCTGTCTTAGCTTGGGCCTGTGATGAGTTTTTAGATATAATATGGGAAGCACGGCCCATGAAAGAAAACACGAGAAGTTGGACTATATCAACATTTTGAATGTTTGCTCTGTAACAACGGTGTTAAAGAGAATGAGAAGACAAGCCACAGGAGCGTGGGAGATCTTTGCAAAACATGTATTTGATAAAGGACCAGTATTCAAAATATACGAGGAACTCAGGGACGCCTGGGTGGCTCACCTGGTGAAGTGCCTCTGCCTTCGGATCAGGTCTCGATCCCGGGGTCGAACCCGGAGTCAGGTTCCCTGCTCAACAGGAAGTCTGCTTCTCCTTCTCCTTCTGCCCTTCTGCCCTGCTCATGCTCTCTCTCACTCCTGTCTCTCTCAAAAAAAAATTAAATCTTAAAATATATATATATATACATATATATATATATATACATATATATATATATCTTAAAACTCAACAATAAGAAGCAACCCAATTAAAAAATGGGCAAAAGGCCTTACCAGACAGCTCACCATGAAAGAAATACAGATGAAAAAGAAGGATATGAATAGATGCTCCACATCCTACATCTTATGTCAGCAGGGAACTGTAAATTAAAACAGTGAGATACCCCTACCCTATGGCGGTTTCTTACAAAAGTCAACGTACTCTTACCATATGACCCAGCAATCACACTCCTGGGTGATTTCTGGGTGATTCAACCCGAAGAAGTCGGAAATTTATGTCTACACAAAAACTAGCACATGAAGGTTTAGAGCAGCTTTATTCATAATCAGGCAAAAATTGGGAGCCACCCAGATGTTCCTAGGTAGGAGAATGGATTAAAAAGAAAAGGGTGTGGGGATCCCACATCGGGCTTCCTGCATGGAGCCTCCTTCTCCCTCTCTCTCTCTGTGTCTCTCATGAATAAATAAAATCTTAAAAAAAAAAAGAAAAAGAAACGGGTGGTCCATCCGGAGGCACCTGGGTGGCTCAGTCAGTTGAGCAATCGACTCTTGTCTTTGGCTCATGTCGTGATCTCAGGGTCATGGGATCGAGCTCCACTCTGCTCAGCTGGGGGTCTGCTTGAGATTCTCTCTCTCCCTTTGCCCCTCCCCTCGTTCCCTCTCTTTCTCAAATAAACAAATACATAAATAAATCTTTTTTTATTTTTTAAAGATTTTATTTACTTATTCATGAGAGACACAGAGAGAGACAGGCAGACTACAGGCAGAGGGAGAAGGGAGCCTAATGCAGGACTCGATCCCGGGCCCCTGGGATCACGCCCTGGGCCAAAGGCAGACGCTCAACCACTGAGCCACCCAGGCATCCCAATAAATAAATCTTAAAAAAAAACCCAAAAACCTATGGTCCATCCAGACAATGGAAAAGCTATGAAGCCATGAAGAAATGGTTGACTCTTGAATACCTACTGCATTTTGCTAAGTGAAAGAAGGCAGTCTGCAAACAGTGACAGACTGTGTGAGTCCCCTCATATGACATTCCAGAAAAAAGCAAAACTATGGAGACAGTCAACAGATACGGGGTTGCCAGGGGTTGGAGAGAGGGGAGTAACGTTTGACTAGGGGAAGCCCAGGAGATGTTTAGGGTCGTGAGGCTACAGCATGTGGTGCTGTGATGGTGGATACTGTGGATAAGTCAAGACCCAGGGAAGTGTGCAGCACAAAGAGCGAAGCTTAACATCAACAAAGTTTGGGGTGCCTGGGTGGCTCAGTCGGTGAAGCATCTGCCTTCAGCTCAGGTCGTGATCCCAGGGTCCTGGGATCGAGTCCTACATTGGGCTCGCTGCTCAGTGGGGAGTCTGCTTCTCCATCTGCTCCTCACCCCACTCATGCTCACTCTCTGTCTCAAATAAATAAATAAGTAAATAAATAAATAATAAAAATAAATAAATAAATAAAATCTTTTTAAAAATCTGCCAATTTAGGGATGCCTGGGTGGCTCAGTGTTTGAGCATCTGCCTTTGGCTCAGGGCATGATCCCGGGGTCCCAGGATCCAGTCCCACATCAGGCTCCCTGCATGGAGCCTGCTTCTCCCTCTCTCCATGTCTCTGCCTCTCTGTGTGTGTCTCTCATGAATAAATAAAATCTTTTTTAAAAATCTGCCAATTTAAAAATAATCCTTTAGGAAATTGGGAGATCTCAGGAAGGAATAGACTCTGACAAAAGAAGCTAGTTGTATCTCAAGTGTATGAGACCATTTCACTGAAGGGGACTGGGGGGAAGGGGGCTGATGTGAGCCACTAGGAACTGAGTGGAGTCCGTAAGACCAAAGGCTAAAGGAACGGTGCATTCTAGCAACTCTTGTTCCCCACAAGGGTAGGGGTTAACAATGCTGAAACCCCTCGGCACGTACACTGGCATTCAACAATTAAGTACACAGAAGGCAGGTTTTTCACTGTTGCAGTGGGATGATACAGACAAGCAAGGCGGGTGCTAGAAGGATCCATGTGGCGATGGATCAGAGTTGGAGACATCAGTATGAATGGACGTTTACGTGACTATACAGGTGCGTATGTATATATAGAATGTATAACAGATGCATACACCGTGTCTACCTATATACCATACAGCAATTTGTTGT